GGGGGGGGGGGGGTGAAGCGAGTTGGTGCAGAGGAGGAGACGCTAGCAGCCCTTGCACCCCACACCTCCCTACGCTTGTCCTGCGCCACACAGCAATGAACCACACCATGCGCGTATGCACACCTGCCTCACCCACCTGCGTGTGTGCCACCACGATGCCCAGGGGCTGGGAGTGATACTCCACTCGATCCCCCGCCAGCAGCGGCTCTGGGGGCATGGGCAGCAGCGGGCTGCAGCAGCAGGCCGGCAGCAGCATGACGAGGCATAGCGCAGGGCTCAGTCATCGGCGTGGCGGAGAGGCTGGCAGCTGTTGCCGCTGCGCAGGGGCTCTTTCAGAGGCGGCACAGCGAAACCACTCGGCGCAAAGGCCCGCCTCAGGCGGTTGCGCTCTGGCGGCAGGTCTGCAGCGCTGATGAACGCCACCACTCCCGGCAGCTGCAGGGCCGCGCTGGCGTCAATGCCCAGGACAGGGGCGCAGGCCTGCATGGAGGGAGGGTCGAATGCACACACAGGACTGAACGGGGCCGCCTGTGGACTGGCAAGCAGGCGAGCGTGCTACCGGCTCCCTTCCCTGCATGCCAGGGGCCCTACCGGCCAACCCCGCCGGCCCCGAAGCAGAGTCGGTGGCTCCGCTGTTGGGCTGCGACAACCCGAGAGCCTGCATCAGCAGCACCTGTGCGGAGGTGACCCAGGCGGCAGCCAGGGTGCCCGGCGGCGCTGGCACGTCTCCGGTGTACTGAGCTTCCCCGCTGGCCTGCACCACAGCGGGTTGATACAGCAGGGTGTGCCGACTCAGGTGGCCAGGTGGTGGTTGCAGAAATAGGCGACGAGCGGGGCCAGCTCGCGGGCGGGCGGGTGGGCGGGGCAGGGGACCGCGCTCTCCCCAGCGAGCGAGAGAGGAAGTGGAGGAGGCCCTCCAGCCCCCTGCCCCTAACACCTGCAGCAGCACTCGGTCCTTGCCCAGGGGAGCCCCCAGGGGCGCGATGCCAGAGGGGGCGGGATCAAACGTCTGCCTGCCGCGCATCACTGGCGGCACCTCATTGGCCGGCGGCACCTGCACGCCCGCAGCAGGAGAGGGCGGCGAATCAGGCGGGCCCCCAGAAAGCTGCTACCGCTCCTGGCAGAGGCTGGCTGTCGGCAGCAGCAGGGCGCGTCGCGGAGGCACCCAGCCAGGCTCCTGCCGCTCCCTGGCTCTCCAGACCCGGTTGCCCCACCTCCAGCAGGCGCTCCAGGTGGGCCGGGCACCCGCCGGCGCCGGCATAGTGCTGCTTCACGGCCGGGGCCAGGGCCTGCAGCAGCAGGCCCTGCGCCATGCTGGCATACTCGGGGCGCCTAGCTGGCGCCACGTCATCCACCACCGCCAGCAACGCGGCCGCCAGCGTGCCCGAACTGAGCTCCTTGCCCGCCAGGGCAGCCTCGGTGGCGGCGGCCCTGCCAACGCAGGGCCAATTGGAAAGCAGAGGGTTTAGAAACATGAGCGTAAGCACAAGGTCAGCATCCTTTGGACACCCAGCCATCTCGGTTCAGCGCGTGCCGCCTGCAGCACACCTGCGAGTCACCCAGCCTGAGGAGCTGTAGAAACCAAACACGGCGCGGGCGCTGCCGCCGCCCAGCTTCACCGCCGCATTCAGCGTCGAATGCACGGAGCTGTGCGCCTCGGCCAGCTGCAGGGGGGACCAGGTGGGCACCAAGCAGGACACCGCTGAACGACGTGCCAGCAGTCGCAGGGCGGCCACGCAGCAAGCTGTTGCTGGAACACACAGAAATCTATGGCTCTGGTGCGCTCCACACCGCAGCCAGGCACCGGCCCAGCTGGTGGGGCACCTTGTGACACCAGAAGTAGTCGCCGGGCTGCGGCAGCGGCAGGTGCAACGCCACCAGCAGCTGGCCCTCGCCCAGCCCGCGCTCGCCGCCCAGGAAGCGCTCCAGCCGCGCCTCGGCAAACACCATGCCGCCACCGCCGCCGCCGTTGCTGCTGCCGTTGCCGCCGCCGTTGGCGCTGGCGGGGGCGGTCACGTCAAGCAGGATCACTGCAGGGGCGGCGACACAGCAGGCAGGGTGCACGTGCATGAGCTCCTCAGTTCGGGCTCGGCTCCAGGGCGGGGTTCCAAGCAAAGCCGTCTCCCCACGGCTTGCCCACAGCAGTCATGCACACGGCTTGCCTGTGGCGCCCCAGCCCATGAGCGCGGTTGCCAGGTCCGACTCCAGCCCCTTGCTCCTCGCCAGCGCCAGGTTGCCGCCCACGGTGCCCGCCTGGCGCACATGGGAGCCGGCGATGCGAGCCAGCATGGCGGCCAGGGAGGCAAAGGGCTGTCCGCCGGGCAGCTTGGCGGCGTGGGAGGAAAGCGCGGCCGCCAGCTCAGCGATCGTCACCGCGGCGCCCACCAGCAGGTGCCCCTGCAGGCCGGCATGGAACAGCATGTGCAGGGGGGGGGATCAGCGGCACCGCGTGGGGTGTGTGCCAAGGCAGCGACAGAGGCTGTCGGCCAGAGCAGGCGACCAACCAAGGCAATGAGGTACTGCGGGAGCTGCCTGCAGGCTGTTCGAGCACCCTCTGCTCGCTGGAGGCGCACCTCTGCGACTGCCACCTCACGCATCTCCTTCACGTGTCCCAGAGTGACCACCAGGCCATCTGAGGCGGGCCACAGCTCGCAGAACAGCCCTGCATGCACAGCAATGGGGCCAGGCCGGCAGCAGTGGGTGGGCCAGCATGCAGCGGCATGACGGCGGCGGGATAGGTAGCTAACATGCAGGGATGTGTGGTGACCCCTGCGAAGGCACCCACCTGCGCCAGTGTTGCCTCCCAGGAAGCGCGGCGGCGCGCCCGTGGCTGGGGCTGCGGCGCAGGCATCCAGCAGCTGCTGCAGGTTGTCGGGCGCCACCCAGACCCTGCCCCCGCCCTCCAGGCGCAGCGCCTCTGCGCTGCCGCCGTTGCAGCCAGGCCCCGCGCCGTTGCAGGCAGCCTGGCTGCCCTGGCTGCTGCTGGCCGTAGCGGCTGCCAGAAGCAGCCGGCCCCCGCCAGCGCTCCACGGCGCTGCTGCTTCGCCGCTCAGCGGCGTGTGCAGTCCCAGGTCCTCGATGTCAACTCCCTTGGCAAAGCTCTGCAAGGCCACGGCAAGAACCGGAGGTGCGGCTTGCTGTGAGCCGGGCGGGCTCGCCGGCGGGCCAGGAGAGTAGGCAGCAGCGACCCAGGGCGGAGCGGGGGACAGTTGTTTTGTCGTAGGGCTAGCAAGCACCTTGCAAACATCCATGATTGGGCGAAAGCCGGTGCACCTGCACAGCAGGAAAGCGGGGAGGGATGGAGTGGGCAGGGTCAGGGGGCGGCCCCACCAACTGCATTGCCTGTGGGCTGCCATACAAAGTGCAGATGGGCTGGGAGAGCCCCGCCGCCTCGCCTGCACAGGTTGCCGTCGACTCGGCGAGCCAGCTCAGCTGCGTCTGGCTCGCGCCCCGCCGTCTGCGCCTCATGCAGCGCGGCGCCCAGCGCCGCCACAAACCCAGGCGTGCAGAAGCCGCACTGGGAGGCGTGGAAGGCGCCCATGCGCTCTGCAGGCGGCATTTCCGTGCCGAAGGCAAGCAGGGCAACACGCTCAGCACTTTGAGGGGGCCTGGCAAGCCCCCAGCCGATGCTTCCCTGCCTGCCAATCTGTCGCACACGCAAACCGGTGGCCGGCCACGGCCCCCCAGCACCTTGCACTGGATGGAAGCCAGCTCGGGAGGAGCCCATGCCGCCAGAGGTGACGATGGAGCACCCCGCCAGGGAACCCACCGGCGCCAGGCACGAGTTGATGGTCCGAATGCCTGTGTGGAAGTCAGGGGGTGGTGTTGTGGAAGTGTGGGGCTGGCAGGTAGGGAGCGGAGCTGCGCGGGCAGCTGGAGCAGGTACGCTGGCAACTGGCAGCAGGACGATGGCGGAGGCGCGCCTCGGAGCTGGCATACCTCTGCCATCGGGCTCTATTGCAGCGACGGTGCATGCCCCACAGGCGCCGCTGCCACATGCCAGCTGCACGCTCTGCAACAAGGGCCCAGCCAGCCAGGGGCGGCGGGTGAGCGGGCCGGCGCGGCGATACCGCCCGGCAGAGGAGCCTCGGAGAGGCCTCGGCAGCGTCCCGGAACGCTTCTATGCATCCAGAGTGTACCACAAACGCACTCACCTGGTCTCCCGCCTGCTGCCTGATGAAGGAGACGAGGCTCTGGGCCGGGTCGGCCTCCTTGAGGTCATACGAGGCTCCGTTGATGGACAGCATCGGATGCTGAGGCTCACAAACAATTGACTCGCTGTTGGTAGTGGACACATGTGGACACATGTGCATCAGCCACCGCCAGCAGTACCTCCAGGAGGGAGCTGGGCGGGAAGGTGCCCTTGTCAACACTTGTTGTTGAAAACTCGCCTTTGTACCGATCTCAGGGATGGCATGACCACCGCAATGAGTCTGCAGCTGGTGACCCAGCCAAACTGGCTGGTGCGGCGGAGCTCAAGCGGCGGGAGGCAGGGCTGTTTGCGGGTGGGCGCCGGCGTTTTCTGTGCGCTATTTTGGAGCTGCGCAGATGATCTTGGGCGTCCCTGCAGCTTCGCCGAGAGGGACTCTGCCCGCCGTGTGCCCTCCATTGCTTGCAGGCGCGCTCTCGCCTTGTGGTGGCTGCGGCAGGGAAACCTGGGCGCCAGGGAGTGGCCGCCGCTGCCGCTGCCGCCGAGACTGTCCTGAAGTCGGCGGCCGCCGACGGCGCCGCCAGCTCCCTCGCGGCCGACGCCTCCAATGCAGAGGGCGAGCCCTTCTCCTGGCTGGAGTGCTGGTACCCGCTGGCGCCTGTGTCGTTCCTAGACGCACCCAAGCCCCATGCCATGCAATTGCTGGGCATAGATCTGGTGGTGTGGCGAGACGACCAGACGGGCACCTGGGCCGCCGCACGCGACTGCTGCCCTCACCGGTGCGCCCCTCTCCTCTCCTCCTCTCCCTCCCCTCGCGTCGCCGCCGCTCCGGCCCCGGTCATGCCCTGCTGCCCACGATGTTGCAGGCTGTCTTCAGCATGGCCCATGCACCGCTGCAGCATTTCCCATGCACCACGCTCTCGGCGCATCGTCTGCCAACCTCTCCCTCCCTGCTCCGCGACCCCGCAGGCTGGCCCGCCTGTCTGACGGCCTGGTGCTGGGCGGCTCGCTGTCGTGCAAGTACCACGGCTGGGAGTTCTCGACGACGGGAGAATGCACCCGCCTGCCGCAGGCGCCCGGCGCCGACGCCGAGCAGCGTGCCTGCACCAGCGCGCGCTGCCACCTGGCCACCTTCCCTATCAAGGCGCGTGCTGGCCTGGCAAGCTGCGGACCTGGCGAGCCCCGCCTTGAATCCCGTGCTCCTGCTGCCCATGTACTGGCGTGGGCGGTGTTGCGGTTTTCCGGTTTTCCTCGGCGCCCGCAGGTCATGCGCCTGCCAACCTGGCGCCCATCCCCGCTGCTGCCACCTGCAGGCGGAGCAGGGCATGCTGTTTGTGTGGCCGTCCGACGACCCAGCCACCTGGGTCGCTGCCGAGGCCACGCCGCTGCCGCTTGTCCCGGAAAACGACGACCCCACCTGGTTCCGAGGGGCCGACGATGGGGCCTGGGGCTACCAGCTGATGCCTGTGGACTTTGCGGTGGCGCAGGTCAGCAGGGTGGCGGAGTGCGTGGCGGTGGCAGGGCCAAGGTGGGGTGGCACGGAGTGAGGTAGGGTGCGCATAGGGCTGCGCGTCACTGCTGGTGCCTGGCGCGGTGCAGGAGAACCCCTTTGACCCCTCCCACGCCCCGTACCTGCACGACCGCACTCTCAACATGCGGCGCGAGGACAGCGTGCCGATGGCCATGCACCTGGAGGTGAGTGGCGCCTGTGTTATGGGCTCACGCATGCCTGGTGGCGGCGGCGGTGTGTATGCATTGACCGTGTGTGTGTGCATGTGTGCGGTGCAAGCAGTCTTGGCACGACACCGGCTGGGAATGCTGCTGCTGCAGGGCAAGGTGGGCCCGCAGGGCTTCCTGGTCAGCCACGGCGGCTACCTGAAGAGCAACGAGAGCATGGAGGGCACCCGCCAGTTCATCCCGCCATGCACCGCCAGGCAAGGCCGCTTGCACATCGCCACGCCGCGCCAGTGGTGTGCATGGCGTGCCGGCCATGCTGCGCCATGCTGTGGCCCACACCGCAGTGCCGGCGCACTTGTCGCAACGGGAGGATGCGCCACGCAAGCCTTGGGCTTGCCTACCCTCCTGCTTGCCAAGATGAGGGCTTGCCTACCCTCCACCTGGATCGCAGGGTTGACTATCGCTACCAGAACGGCACCCGCCAGCTGTTCACCATCTACACCACGCCCGCCGGCCCCGGCAACAGCCACCTGTCCTTCAAGCTCGTCACCACACCTCCCCCTGCGCCCGTCCGCCTGCTGTGGAAGTGCGTGCACGCCGGGCGCCAGCGGGGCGGGGCATGCAACCCCCACGGCTCTGGTCCCACCTGCGGGCTGCGCCGCACCCGGCTGCATGATGCGCACAAGCGGCCACTCCCTTCTGTCCCCAGCGCCAGCACCCCCTCTGCGTACCCACGGCTTCCTCTCCCTGCGCCCTGCAGCGTGCTGCCGCCGTGGCTGATGCACATTGGCGGCGCGGCGGACGAGGACCGCACCATCCTGCACGGTCAGCAGCAGGTGCTGCAGAGCCAGGGCTGGCCCAAGGCGCCGCATTACTTCCTGCCCACACCCAGTGACACGTGAGGCCCCGGGGAGGAGGGCGGCGGCCGGCCGACCTGCCGCCAGGCCGGGCGCTGCTCGCCTCTGCTTGTCAGCAGCGACTTTGAAGCCATGGTGTGCATGCGGCATGCGGCTGCATCCTGCTCAGGCGCGTGTGCTGGTTGTGAGGTCATCGCTGAATCCCCCGGGGCGCCTGCAGGGGCGTGGTGAGCTTCCGCAAGTGGCTGAGGGAGTTTGGCGGCGGGGAGGTGCCCTACGAGGGGCGCCCCGCCAGCGCCGCCGCCCGCCTCACCAAGGAGCAGCTGCTGAACCGCGCGGCGCTGCACACCAGCAGCTGCACCGCCTGCCAGCAGGTGAGGCCAGAGGCTGAGGCCGGGGTGCTCGGCAGCGCAGGCAGGCAGTGTCAGATGGCGGGATGGGGGTCGCAGGGCTGCAGGCTGCCGACCCGTGCCTCATGGATGTCGCCGGCATGAGCTGCCTGCGGTGCAGGGGCTGGCCACTGCACGCGCCGGCGCCGGCGCTGCGGCGGTGGCGCTTGCCGCGGAGGCCGTGGCGGCGGGGGCCGTGCTGCTGAAGGCGTACGTGTGGGCCCAGGCGCCGCCCCTCCGCACCCTGGCCGCTCTGGCCGCGTGGGCGCTGGCGGCCGCGGTGTTCAGGACAGGCGAGTGGCACAGGCGTCCCTGGTGTGCTTGCCCTTAGGGTTACAGGTTCAGCTTGCCGAATCGCTGCAGATGCCTCACATCTCCCTCAAATGAAGGCCATGCACATTCACCGGCACGACAGCGCAGTGCGCATGATACACACAGCCCTCCAAAGGGGCAGCTGTCACAGCAATGCCTACACTGTGTTGGATGCGTGCAAACAAGAGGAACTTGAAGGGCTGACAGCCGACGCCAAACGCCTCCCCCGGTGGCTCCTGCCAAAAAATGTTGCACACGACGACACTCTATGCAGAATGCGCCCCGACATCCTGCGCATCCTGGGGCTGCCAGGGGCGCCGACGACCGAAGAAATCCAGCATGCAGTCAGCAACAAGCACCGTCACACTATACAAGTAGTGGAAGTCGGCTACTGCTCTGACACGCAGTGGCGGGCCAAAGTGGCAGACAAACTGCAACAACATGAACAACTCATGATAGCCCTAGAGCAGGCCGGTTGGCAAGTGGACCGGACACCTCACATCATTGTCATTGGAGCACGCGGCGCCATCTATCACAGTGGCCGTGAGGCCCTGCTGAAACTGGGTCTCAGCAAAACGCAGGCTAGCAACGTATTGATTGACATCCACCTGCATACAGTGCAAGCAGTATACGACCTCTCACTGGCCAGACGGCGGCTCGAGCGGGGCCACCGTCAAGTGGGGGTAGGCTAGTGGCCAACCCCCCCCACACCCACACCCAATGGTAGCCGGCAGGGTGGGCCTCCGGGCCTGCACCCAGCTGGCTTCCTCAATCCACGCCCAAGGGCGTATTCTTTCTTTCTTTTCTTTCTTTCCTCACATCTGCTCCCCGCCGCTGCTGCAGGGTTCCTGCAGCTGCAGCGGGAATTCCTGGGCCACGCCGGGCTGCCCTGGGAGCTGCGCGCCAGGTCGGGGCCGCTGTCGGGCCTGCCGCTGGCGCTGGCCAAGATTGCCATCATCCTGGGCTCGCTGCTGGGCTCCCCGGCCACCCTGCTGCTCAAGCGCCTCTCCAGCTAGGCCAGGAGAGCTGGCCACGCGAGCAGCCGCAACACCCAGCCGTCACGGGTAGTGCCCTCCCCTGCCACCTGTTCTGTCTCCGCGCCGCGTGGTGGAGCCGGCATGGCCCTGCAGCGATTGGTCGCTCCGCTGCTACTTGTACATGAATCCAATGCCGGCTAGATTTGCTCCCCATGCATGCCACCTTCTCCTTGTCTAAACCTGCGTTTCCATCGTAAGTGTGATCGGACCCAGGAATGCGAGCAGTGGCGGCGGGAGGCGGGCGCACGGCTGGAGTGGGCTACTGCAGCCAGCAAGGAGTGGATGGCATGTCATGCCACATGCAATTCTTCTTGTGTCACCCTTATAGGGGCGCTAACGGGTGCAGGGGCCTCCGAAAGAGGCAACCGAGCAGGCCCACATGCTGACCTGGCAGGGCCGGGCAGCCGCGCAGAAAACATCTGTTGCCCTCAAACATGGCTCTATGGGGTCAGTTCACGTATGGGAGGGGAGCGCCGCGCGGGCTGCCAGGAGCGAGCGGGGGCGGGGGTTGCCCAATCGGGAGGGTGCCACATCAGGGGGCAACAGCATGGCTGCAATCATGTGATCAAGGTCACTATTTTATCAACCTGGGGCCTGCGACGCCGGCTAGCTCTTCCACACATCTTCATTCCTTAGCTGGGCTCCAGGGGCCCCACCATGACTGCCTGCAGGGCGCTGCCCGCTTCCTTGCCGAAAAGCCAGAGCGCAATCATCATCACCAGACCGTTCATTTCTGCAGCAGCAGTGGTGCAGTCCGCGGCCTGCCTTCAAGCTGGCATTTTGTGCCTGCCAGACGGCCTGTGCCATGCACGCTCGATGCCTAGGGCCTCACACAGACGGCAGCACCCACGAGCACCCCAGCTGCCTCACCCGACTCGTAGCAGGCATCGTAGCGAGCCACCTCCTCGCTGCCGCCTCCAGGCGATGGCACGCCGCCTTGCTTCACCAGCGCCACCCACAGCCGTGCCAGGTCCTTGGCTGCCGCAGACCACAGCGCCAGGTTCTTCTGCAGGCACATGTCGGGCAGGGCAAGCATGAGGCAGCGAAGCACGAGCACAGGCAGTCAAATGAGAATGCATGCGCATTCCAGCAGGTGCACGCATCAACCACACCACCAGCAGCAGCGGCGGCAGCGACCCCGCACCTCGTTTGGCGGAATGGTGAAGGAGAGGGAGCCCTCCAGCATGAGCCGGGCATCTGCCGAGGGGGATTTGTACACCTGCCAGCCCTCGTGCGCCACGCAGCGGGCAAAGATGTCGTTGTAGGAGGGCAGGCCATCCTCTGGGGCTGCGGGCATGCAGGCAGCGGGCGGCAAGCGTCGTGGGGCGGGGCGGGAGGGGACGAGCTGTTCCAGCAAGTGCAGCAATGGCACGCCAGGGCCAGCCTGGGATGCGACCTGCAGAACAGGGGGCCATGCAGCAGGCCCTGTGTTACAGTCACCCCGCTATGATAGGCCGCGTGAGCAGACCTTGGGCAGGGGGCACACGTGATCAAGGGGCATCAAGAGAGGGGGTGGACCATGGAGCACCCTCTCCATGGCTCCGACCACCCTCCCCCCAGCTGAGCGTCCCAGGGTCACCCCACCCTGGCCCCGCTCCCCGTCCTGCCGGACACGCAACCCCCACAACGTGGTGGGGGACGTGGGGATCCTTAGCAGCTTAGGCCTGCCAGGCCGACGGGTGCCGATGCTGGTGCGGGCTCCCGGCGGCAGGCAGCGCCGCCGCCGGGCACTCAAATGGCATGGGGCACATGGGCCCCCATGCCCGCACATCTCCCAGGCACATGAAAATACCAGAAGGCTGCACATGTAAGGGTGCATGCATTGCAGGCAGGAGTGCAAAGTGGCCTGCCGCGGCGGTCGGCTGTGCCATTACTCAGTCAGCCGCCGCTACCGTGCCGGGCTTGGCGTTCCCATGCCAACATGCCGGCGTGCCATCGCGCAAGGGGCCAGTGAGTGTGTGAGGCGGAGGTGGGGGTGGTGGGGCTGCCGCTGACCGTTGCTTGCTGACGCTGACGCTGCTCTTACCTGCGGGGGGAGGGGGTGGGTCGGGAGCCAAGGCCGGGCAAAAGATGCCTGGGCCCTACTCAAGGAA